GAAGTTTATAAATGAGCGCAAGCATTGTTGTGATCTGATAATTAAACAGACCTAAATTAGCATTCTGTTTCAGTGGTTTGATCTTTAGAATTAATGTACCAGAGAATGGTTGGACTTGGAAAACTTGTGAACATTTGTTGGAGAAAGTTGCAGAATCAGTAGTGTTTGAAGATATTGGGATTTTGAAAGATATGTACCTCTAAGCTGAAATAATTCTCATTGTATAGCAGCCTGTTTTAAAATTTTCAGTGCCTTTCTTCCTGGAAATGTAACATTATTCCAGTAATGCTGCATTGCTAAAAATGCACTTTCATTTCCTAATCCTTCAGTATGGTGACTTGTCTTTTTGTCAACCCTTGGATGATTGTATGGTATTGTTTTCTTTAAAAATGAACCCGTGTGCAGTGCTGGTTAACCGTTTTGACTTGATCAAGTTCAGTGATAGCATTAGATGAGAATTTTAAATGTTTGTAAATGGTGAGCAGATAAAAATTTGGAAGGTGCCTGATCATGACCTATGTGAATGTTCACTATCCAAGGATTCTCTAGGGGATGGGAAGACACAAGAAACTGTTTCAGGATTGCTGTTAACCCTGCTGAGATTGGAAAAAGTTACTGCTGGGTGGGATGACATATTTCCATTTAATGTCTTGTCACCAGGAAGGAGTTTTCTCATCTCTTGAGCCCATTCATGGATTATCATGTGAGTGGATGTGAGTGCAGCATAACAGACGTGTATCTGATTTTAATTCCATATTTTCAGTGAAACAATATGGTTTCCATGCAGTTGTCTGAAGCAGAAGCAGAACTAACTCCTAATTGTTGTCTCAGGTATTATGATCATACCACTGAAAGTATGGTTGCTTGATACAAGAAACCTAGTGGGGATGAAGAAAAGCCCTAAAATAGTAATAGATCTCTTTTAATTGTTGTCATTGATATAGCTCCATCTCATTCAGGGTGTGTGCTTTTAAGACATATTCCAGACAACTTGCAGCAAATTATTAATAATGTCCATTTTGAGTATCATTTATGTTTAGTGCACTGGAATTTGATGACATTTCTTCTATGAAATATTCCCACGCTACATCATTTGCCCTTACTTATTTTTCCAGTCTGTAGCCCATAAAAATTTATGTTGAGAATGTGGTGGCATCCATTCTCTTAATACACTTGGTTGTCGACTTACAACCGGCCGCACTTACAAGCACAAAAAAAATGAAAAATGAAAGATGATTAAATTGTAAAAGTTTTTAAAAATAAATTATAAAGATGATAAAAAGATTAGAAAGGTTAAAAAATACTGTTAATGAAAATGTGGTCAACTTATGACCTGTCAGTCAGAATGGAAGTCGATCCTAAGTCGATGACCAAGTGTATTGAATAAGAGAAAAGACGTTTTATCGTGCTCAGACTGAATATGGCAGCAGCATATTTTGTTTTATCTCTGTCAAGATTTGTGATGTTTGTAACCATCAGGAGGTATCTGCTGTGAAGAAACCTCACAAGCTGTTCTTACACCTTCCGTCATTATATTTAGCAAACACCCGTGATGAAGGTTACGTATGTCTGCCTCTGTAATATCCCGAGTAAATATTTGTTAGTAGTAAGTCTTTAATATAATTTAGTAACACAGGAGAAAAATGGCTGAAGAGTGCCTTGTTGATGTATGTTTTTGAAACAATTTGGCGAACAGCAGAAATTGTCAATATGCATCATGCTTCACTCTAAGACTGCTGGAAGTGTATAAGAAGGCACTAGTACACATGCAAGCTATGTTTGTTGCCTTTTTTCTGATGCCCCCCCCCCTGCTATTATCTGTGTATAAGAGAAATTAGTTTCAGTGTTGTTTGTGTTGTAAATGAAAGCATGGTTCCTGTGTGTGTGTGTGTGTGTGTGTGTGTCAAGGTCAGATAGTGCATATCAGCTGGCTCAGAGCCAGTGAAAATCTTCACATTTCTGTGTTGATAGTACCGTAAAACATGACTCCTGTATTCTGATAAGAGTTTCATATGTTGTATGTGGGTGCATTGAAATCCAGTGCCCATGTGTAATGTTAGAGAGAAATGTTGCAGATGTAACACAGCAGGTAGCAACTTCAACAGAAGGAAGAAGATAATTTTATTTTAACACCATTCCTTCTAAATAAATGTGTGTGATTTTGAACATTGGTCTTTAGCTTGTGTTATGTTCCATTTTATGTACTGTGTTAGAAAATCCTATAGCATTGATATTTAAGAAAAATGGCTATATGGGTGGAAGTGATGAAATTCAAATAGTCATACACGACTTCCACTCTCAACTCCATTTTCTTTCAGCAGTGTTCCTAGCATAAGTTGCTTCTGTAACCAGAGTTCTACTGACCTGCTGTTGCTGGGAACACCTGCAAATAACTAACAGATACATTCATTGTTTAGGGCCATATCACTCTCATCCTTCTATTTACTTATTTCTGGAACACTGTATATTTCATAGTGTAGTTGTAAGTGCTTGAAGTGTTTCTCCGGACATACAGCAGTAAGAATTAAGGGCATGCCATTTCACATAATAATTGAAGATTTGATCATTCATTTATGCATGAATAACTTCATTTACTAATATCGTGTGCATGAGATTGTGTAATTACCATTTTCAGATTAGACACTTGTGCCCATATACTGGTATTTTCCCTTCTTCTTTGCCAGCAGTTATTCCAGTGCATGCAAGGTTGCAGTCATAGCTTTGGGCAGGACAAGTTTGGATCAGATCCAGGCAAGGTTAAGAATACTTCTCTTTATTCCGTGTCGCCTGTCTCTAAATCTCTCTGTTCTATGATATTGGCATGTTGGCTGGGGCGAAAACTGTACCACCTGCACCACTATATGAAATCATTCGTTGATGTTTGTCTATCCTGAAATAACATAGAACTTCTATTAAGTTGTGTGTATGGTGTGCTTATCTGTTTATCTGTAGATGAAATTTTTCACTTGGTGGGGGGTGGAGTCCAGTTGGGCCCACTTGGTATGGCAGCCACTTATTAGCCTATTGTAGCCTGCCCCAGGTGATCATGATGGTGGAGAATTTGGTGGAATGAAGTTTGGCAGGGGAAACCAAAGTACTTGGAGAAAACCTGCCGCAGCTCCACTTTGTGCACCACAAATCCCACTTGACCAGACTGGGATCGAACCTGGGCCGCCACAATGGGAAGCCACCAACTAACTGCTTGAGCTATGGCGCGCAATCTTTAGATGAAAGAAATATAGGTTTTCTATGTGATTTGGAGACTGAGCATTGTAGGGCCTGCAGGTAACTTCCTGCATACAAAATGTGCAGTCACCAAAAAACAGAATCATATCTAGTAAGAATATTTCTTGACACAAGATAGAGCTGTGGCCCTAACTTCATGAATTGCATGGCAATTTTCAGCCATCGACTTGTCTTACAAGTAACAACTTAGTTTTGTAGCCCATAACAGTTATGATATGCACTGAACTTTCTGATTGTACATTGTGACGAGTTAGGCAGATAAGCACAATAGATCACTGAGGTCGCAGTGCAAGGACGAAGACGGCCCACCCCTTGTACCTTCGTGAGTTAGGCAGAGCAAGAAATTAATGTAGCAGGTTCTGGTGTCAACCAGTTTTTTCTGAGACAGAGTATGCCAATTTAGTTGATACCCAGCACCAGAGCTCTTCTGTGAAATTTCTACATCTTTCTGTACGTTGATGACTTATATGGCACCGTGAAACCAGAGTATTTTCAGTCAAACTTCCAAGTGACTTGTCCACAATGAATGCTTCATGAGAATGTTGTATGTTAAGTCCTTTATTCTAATAGGATGTGAGGTTCTCACAATGATAGTTATTTAGAGAACCATCAGATAGAGCTCTGCTTGCCTCCTGCTTTCACGCTGGTATCTTGCTTGGCTTATTGTTCAACCCTGAAGATGAAAAACATGATGATTTTCAATGAACTACAGAAAATTGTGCTCTCCAGTGTCCTTTTTTGTACATTAATGTGATTGCTGCATTGCTGCATAAGTTCATTTACAGTAATTTAATTCATTTGCAACACCTGTGTGAACATACTGCATCTGGCTGCAGTATAGGTAAAGTGCATAGCTTTCATTGCATCATCCTTTCAAACTGGACAGTACAGTGCACCAAGTGGCAATGAACCTTCTGTATACTGTTATACCTGCGTATGGTAGACGTGCAACAACGCATATTGTTGAGAGTTGCTTGAAGGAAAGATCTGTTATTTTCTTGATGTCTCGTGCAATATTGCTTCTTATCCTTTGTTAGAATATGAACTATGATCTGAGGTGGTAGTATTTTTGTAGTCTGGAACAGAATGATTGCTCATTGTAAGCAGTATACTCGTACATTTTTATGCTGTTTGGAAGTACTAATTAATGTAACTCGTGATGCTCTTTGAAAATACTAATGTATATGATTTTCTTTAAGAGATGGCATTTCTTTGATTACAAGAAGTTTACTCTTTACTGTGAAATGTTTTCAAGGAAACTTGCATAATGATTTCTTTATACTGAAATTGCAAATCTGAACTGTCATATTTAAATTGTAGCTTGTGTTTTCATTGAAGGGATATGAAGAAGAAATATCTTCAGTTCTGTTATAATTTAACAAACACTGCTGCGATTAGTGACAAAGTCAGGAAGTTTGCATTTTCCAGATGGAACTGATCAGGAGCAGAGCTCCTAGTAACCTTGTTCCTCTTCCAGAACTCTGCAAGTTTTGTGTGTGTGTGTGTGTGTGTGTGAGAGAGAGAGAGAGTGCGCACCATGATCTAACTCACTTCCTGGCACAGGTCTTGGGACAAGCATTGGTGCGAGAGTAGTCTGCCAGCTAAAGTTGCCCTGGTCACTCTATTGTAGCTGGGATGTATTGGCTAGCAACAAGTGGCCTCATTATGTGTGGTGCATGTATGGAGAGATTTCATTGTATGTGATGTGCAATTGATAGGGTCTCATTAAAGAAATGGTGTAATGTTTGTTGTAGGCCCCCAACAGTGGGCTGCAGGGAGGTGCCCCCAGTGTCAGCAGTTTGCAGTCTCAAGCCCATCAGCAACATACGTTGCATCAGGCCCAGGCACACCAAAATTTGCGGCACAAGGTAAGTTTTCCTCATCCCTGAAGAAGGTTATTTTTGTGATATGTCCGTGTATTCTTAATTAAAATGAGGTTTTGCTTGTTTCATACTGTCACGATTCATTTAATTGGTCTTCTGTGTATCCAAATTTTTTTCTCTTGTAAATTAAGTGAACAGGATGTGTTATCAATCATATTTTGATTATAATAATTACAATTTATTGTCACTTATTATAAATTCATTGTGCTATCATTGTGTGTGTATATACCAATTTCTGGTAAATTTAATTTAACCTTAATGTCAGCCATCCTACCCATTAGTCTTGAGTTAACTGATTGAGACATATCGTGAAATATCTTTTCTGTCTTCAGATTTGGAATGGTTTGTTGCAGCAAATTATTATTTTTTTAAACACGTTTTTCAAGAATTTGTATTTTGATTAGTAGTTCATTAAGAACAGTTATTATTTGTTTTACCATATTTTTAAATACATTTGTAGTAAACTACTTTTTGGGGTAGAGGTAACTGTGTTTATTTGAATAGAATTGCATTGTTGATTAACCCTTCAGCGCCGGGGGAATTTAAATCGTTTTTGCACTCCATTGCCGGTGGCTATTTAAATAATTAAATCGGAGAATGCAGCACTTAACTTAAAGCGTAATAAACAGGGAAAAACTGGAGTTTTGTTTTTCAGATTTTCACACAACGTCCAGAGAAGTGTATAGAATTAGAGTATTGATCCACACTACTTTCAAATTATTTTTGGGCCAGTAAGCGTATAAAAATTACGAACAATAGTATCGTATTACCTTAAAAATTCATCCATGTGTGGTAGTCGTGGAAACACTCAATGCAGAGGCCCACGCCGCACGCATCACACCAGTACACTGTGTCCCTTCTCCTTCCACGCTTTTGACATACAATGCACTTTCTCTGTGGTCTAGATTTCTTCGCCGTTGGAGGAATCTTGCTGATAAAATGTTGTTCTGTTAGACGGGGCACTGTGTTGTATGATGGATGTGAACCCGGCACTTTATGTTCCACAGCACTCGCATTTTTCACAAACAGGCCCTCAATCAACTGGATTCTGAATGATAATTGCTGAATTCGTTTGCCTGTGTTACTCCTGTACACTATCATTGAATTCAGAATTGAGGCGTTTAGGAGCCTGCGAAACAGCTTCATGTACCACTTATTCATTTGCTTCCTCTCGATCAAATAAGAGTGAAGCAGCTGGTCCTTCAAATCGACCCCCCCATTGACTTATTGTAGTCCAATACTGAAATTGGTTTTGCCACCGTCTTGCCTCTAACTGTAACAGTCCTGGTGTCGTGACTGTGATAGGTGGAGATCATGGTCACTATTTTTTTGTCAAACCACTTTGTGTTAGAAACGAGTCCAGAATGTTGTGCCACGATTTCACCTTTTTTTAGTTTAGTGTTTTTCACTTTTGGAGGCACATTCTTACGATTCAATTTCAGAGTGCCAACACAGTCGGTCTTGTGCGTTATCTTCAATACCCTGGCTAGAGTTGGGGAATTGTAAAAATTATCCATCCACAGAGTCCGACCTTGATTCAGGAGAGGTTCTACCAGTTTCAGAACAATGGTTGAAGTTTTGTTGGTGTCCACTGTGATCAAGGGGGAGTCAAGTACTGTATCCTTGCCTGTATATATGATGAATGACCATAAATACCCCGTGGTGGAGTCGCAACTCGTAAGTTTTAATTCCAAATTTGGCTGCCTTCAGAGGGAGGTACTGTTTGAAAGACAGACGACCTTTCCAAAGTGTCTTAGATTCGTCAAGTGAAATGTCCTGGTTTGGGAGACAGTTCCTGAAATTTCTTATTGAGATGGAAAATTACTGGGTAGATTTTGAAAAGTTTTTTGGGTCCTTCAAAAGTGCTGATGTTTTCATTGTTGGCGAACTGCAAATATTTACATATTAGCTCCAGTCTGTCTCGCGTCATAATGTCTCTAAATCCCGGTGTTGAAATTACTCTTTTTGTTGTAAAATAAGACCAAATAGTTGGTTTCTGTACAATTCCCATGAGCATGAACAAACCCAAGACAACATAAATCTCTTCCTCTGTCACGGGTTTCCATGCCTTAGAATGCGACCACACTGATGGTTCACGCCCCCGTAGAAACTGCTCCGCGTATCTATTTGTTTCTGTGACTATGGTCTCAATAAGTTCCTTGTCGAAAAACAACTCAAAAACGTCCACAATGTCTGTTACATCTTTTGCAGGGCCTTGAGCTCCAACACTGCCTGTGAAATGTTCTCTCTGACCCCTATAGTTCTCCATATCCTCCCAAATGAATTCTTGATTTGCACTGCCATCTTCATCGCTGCCCTCATTTCCAACAGCATCAAAAAAGGCACAGTCATCTAACTCGTTTTCAGAATCAAAATCCGAATCTGATAAGACTTTGTTTGGAATCACTTTCAACCAAACACTGTATGTCCTCGTCACTCAGCACACCCGAACGTCTCTTGCTTGTTCCAGTCATGGCTGCTACATGCAAACTGCATTAGCTGTGTGGAACAAATGGAACGTCAAGGAATGCAAACAAGGCATTTGTTTATCATTTCCAACTGCAGTCATATCAGAGGTCAGTGTCATGTGTCATTCTTGTTAGGTTTTCTACACGTGGTTTCTCATTCAGTTCAAGAGGCAGCACTCGTCACTGGCTGAATGGAAATCGATTTTTTTTTCGACCAACACGCAGAGAGATCACAGACTTTGCTTTGACCAACACGCAAGGAAATCACAGACTATAAACCTAGCATATTTAGTTCCTAACTCTCCAAGAGATGGAGATAGATTTGTACGGCAATACTGCACCCTAGACGGCGAGCTACAAAACTTCTTCAGAGACTTCTAATGTAAAAAAAAATACCCCGAGAAGTTCAAAGTGGGAAAGCGAATATATGAAATGATAAGACAGAAATTTCCTCTTTCATTTCATAGCAAAAGTATTACTTTACATGAAAAGCAGCACAAGACACACAACAATGTCGCCCAGCGAGATGTGGCATTTAAATGCGATGTACGTCGCCCGGCACTGAAGGGTTAAGAATTATGCTGTCCCCACCATATGAATGCATTATGAATTGGTTATGTCATTTGTCATTCCTTGAAATTGAAGCATAAAAAGTAGCTGGAGTGAAACCAGAATTTCCATTTGTTTGGTAAAATTGCCATGGCACAGATGCTCAGGCCATGTTTGAAAACTCCCAAATGTTAAACGTACAGACTTGCAGAACTTCCACTTTAAGAGGTTACATAATTTGTAAACTTGTGTGTGGCTGTAGTGAAGAAGTATTGATAGAAAGTAGTAGTATGATTTTACAACAATTTCTCCCCCCCCCCTTTTTTGCTAGTGGGGTGGGACTAAGTCCCTTGTACTCCGGCCACTTCTGACCTATTGTACTAGCCCCAGATAGGTGAGGGTGATTGTGGAGCAGTTGGTGGAATGAAGATTGGCATGGGAAACCTAAGTACTCAGAGAAATCCTGCCCCAGTGCCACTTAGTCCACCACAAATCCCACTTGACCAGCATGGGATCAAACCTGGGCTGCCGCGGTGGGAAGCCAGCGACTAAACCGCTTGAGCTATGGCGCGGCCATAATTTCTTCCTTAGAACAAGACTAAATTTAAATGAAAATTCAATTCTCCTGCCAGTTTACCATTCTTATGCAGTGTTTCCAAGATCCTAGAATTTTCCTGTATGAGTGATGTAAATGATGCTTGTGAAAAACGTCATCAGCAGTGTTAAACATGATTCTGGTTGAATGTTTTAGGTTAATGGAGTTGGAGGTGCAGCAGCAGCAGCAGCAGCAGCGCCATCTGCACCCTCTGTGTCTGTGTCAGCCAGCTCAGCTGGGGCTGGACAACAGCAGTTCCAGAGGTTGAAGGTAGAAGATGCACTTTCCTACCTGGACCAGGTCAAGTACAAGTTTGGAAATCAGCCACAGGTGTACAACGACTTCCTGGACATTATGAAGGAGTTCAAGAGCCAGAGGTGAATTAGTTTCATTCTTCTGTGTTGTGCCTTTACAGAGGTTATATCTTATTGAAAAAGAAAGGTATTTAAAAAAGGGACACACGGCAGGTTCAGAACCCTCACAGTAATTGTAGAAGAATACAAAACTTTTGTTTATGCTTTGACCTGTCTCTGCAGTTACTTGAGTAACTATTCGTCTCTTTTTAACTGCTGTCCAGGTTGCTCATATACTTTTGCTGTTCTAGTTTTTCATATGTAAAGTGAGGTTACAAGCCTTTTACTTGAAATGAAGTATACGTACACAAAATTACCTTCATCCTATTCTTAATCTCATCTGCAAATGTAACAGTAATATTGCCCTTCTCATCCTCAGATATATAAATTTATTGTTGCAAGGCTTATCACATTGAATGAATTTATATTATATTTTTGTTCTATTTTATTGAAATTGCACCTGAAAGAGTTTTGAATAAACAATAGATGTTAACACTTTGTGGACCGGCAATTTAAATATTTAAATCACCCTGGGGACCGGCATTTTTAAACCTACTACCCTAATAAATACAAACCACTCCGTCCAATGTGATGTATAAGTTTTTACTACGTTAAAACTTATCTCCCTTCTTACATGTTTCGGTCCTTACGGGCCATCTTCAGAGGGAACATCATTACAAACTGGAAACTACCATCACAATAGGTGTTTTGATTTAAAATTCGTACTTATATCCTATAATGCGCAGTACGCTTAAAATCGAACGTTTACAATCACAGCAGCTTCCTGGTGTTGTAAAGTTTTTAAAAGTTTCTAGATGTTAGTTAAAAAAACCTTTATTGTCAGTAGTTAAAATTTTTTAAACCACATAGGTTCGTGTCCGTACTCCTATCGTCGTTCTTGTATGGGGCAGATTTTGTGCCACATGTCTGTCTTGATGAGGAGGTTCTTGATGTTGTCCAG